ATCTGATGCTAAGCTTACGGTTGGGTCTGTCCATCACATCATTCTCCTAATGATGTGATCCCGTTATCAAATGACAACTCATGTCAATGGTTAGGAAACCTTAACCATCTTTGATCAATGAGCTAGTCTAGTAGAGGCATACTTGGGACACGGTGTTGTTTATGTATCCACACATGTATTTAAGTTTATAGTCAATACAATTCTAGCATGAATAATAAACATTTATCATGAACGGAAAATATGATAATAACCATTTTATTATTGCCTCTAGGGCATATTTCCAACAGTCTCCCACTTGCACTAGAGTCGGTAATCTAGTTTACATCGCCATGTGATGAGCGCCCAATGAGTTCTGGGGTTTGATCATGTTTTGCTTGTGAGAGAGGTTTTAGTCAATGAGTCTGCAACATTCAGATCCGTGTGTACTTTGCAAATCTTTATGCCATACTATAGATGCTGCTACCACGCTTCAACTGACTGCTCCACCATTCAATATAAATACATATCCGATTTGAGACTCTGAGTCATCTGAATCTGTGTCAAAGCTACCATCGACGTAACCCTTTACGACGAACTCTTCGTCACCTCCATAAATTAGAAACATCTTCTTAGTCCTTTTCAGGTACTTCAGGATGTTCTTGACCGTTTTCCAGTGATCTACTCCTGGATCACTTTGGTACCTCCCTACCAGACTTATGGCAAGGCACACATCAGGTCTAGTACACAACATGGCATACATTATAGAGCCTATGGTTGAGGCATAGGGAATGACTTTCATCCTTTCTTTTTCTTCTATTGTGGTTGGGCTTTGAGTCTTACTGAACTTCACACCTTGCAATACAGGCAAGAACCCTTTCTTTGACTGATCCATTTTGAACTTCTTCAAAACTTTTTCAAGGTGTGTGCTTTGTGAAAGTCCTATTAAGCGTCTTGATCTATCTCTATAGATTTTGATGCCCAATATGTAAGCAACTTCACTGAAGTCTTTCATTGAAAAATTCTTGTTCAAATATCCTTTTATGCTTTGCAGAAATTCTATATCATTTCCAATCAACAATATGCCATCCACATATAATATTAGAAATGTTACAATTCTCCCACTCACTTTCTTGTAGATACAAGCTTCTCTGTAAGTTTGTATAAAACCAAAAGCTTTGATCACCTCATCAAAGCAAATATTCCAACTCCGAAATGCTTGCACCAGTCCATAGATGGATCGTTGGAGCTTGCATACTTTGTTAGCATCCTTATGATCAACAAAACCTTCTGATTGCATCATATACAACTCTTCCTTAAGAAACCCATTAAGGAATGTCGTTTTGACGTCCATTTGCCGGATCTCATAATCATAAAATGCGGAAATAGCTAACATAATTCTAACAGACTTAAGCATCGCTCCGGGTGAGAAAGTCTCCTCATAGTCAACCCCTTGAACTTGTCGGAAACGCTTTGTGATAAGTCAAGATTTATAGACGGTGATATTAGCATCAGTGTCTGTCTTCTTCTTAAAGATCCATTTATTCTCAATGGCTTGCCAATCATCAGGCAAGTCCACCAAAGTCCATATTTTGTTCTCATACATGGATCCTATCTCGGATATCATGGCCTGAAGCCATTTGTCAGAATCTGGGGGTGATTAGTTGTAGATTTAATGGGGGTCACAGCGTTTGCATGCATTCATTTTGACTCAGCCTCATCAATCCAACGTGGTTTCTATAAAAAGGCTTGTCGGAAGCGAGCTTCATTAATTCGCTCGCTACAATGAGCGATTTCGAAAGAGCCATTTCGCTAAGAATGAAGCTACTACACAACCGACACTGCCTGCATGATTCATGGACGATTGATAATGTGATGGATGTGTTGCACTTTATTCTATGAATGGATGGCTGGATGTGAAGCATCATGCATGGATCGGCTGGAAAGCATTGTCTGCATAGCAGTGTTCTACTAACAAAAGTGAAGGAGGCGTGGTCCGGCCAAGTATGGCTGCTTTGGGGAGAGAAAAAATAGGGCATGACCAATGCATAGCCCTAGGATGATGCCCCACATGCCATGTAGGATTGGATGTCAGGAGAAATAGGTTCGAATGAGGAGGCGGGATCCTTTGCAGGAGGCGGGTGCTTGGGGAGAAAAGGTGTGATCCGGTATAAAAAGCTGAAGATTTTGAAGTAGAGAGTAGAGATGCATGTGTAGTAAAGTCTTTATTTTCCATTTCTTGATGAGGCCCATTAGTAGTAGCTTGCGTTGGGAGAAAAAAATAATGTAGTTGCCTCAAGCTATTTTTTTCTCATGGGCATCTGTATTCATATGTCACCATTGTTCATGCCCTTACATAGTGGTTTCAACTTACAAGACAGATGAGGCAGTTACATGTTGTTGCCTCCATTGTACAATGCCCTAAGAGCATTTATAGTCGGACTTTGCAAATCCGACCCCTCATACGCCCGTGGACGCGTCCGCGGACAGTGACAGGGCGGCCCGCCCGGGCGTATGAGACGGGTTTGAGGCGCCCGGCTGTAGATGCTTTAATGGGCTTATTGTAGAAAAATCCCCAAGGTGAATACATGATATCAGAGCAACTCCAACGGGGCGATCCATTTCGTCTGCCGCTGTCCGCTTGGGTCCGCGCGAACAAAAGTGAAGGCCCAACGCACGACCCAAACCCAAAATGCGTCCGCTTCACGTCCGCGCCGACGCATTTGCGGCCCAAATTTGCGCCCCAAATGCGTCGGTGCGGACACGAAACGGATGCCATGCGCGCCTTCTCGATGTCCGCCGCGGCCCTACCTGGCGGTCGCCCAACTACCCGCCACCTCGTCGGTCAGCTTAATTTATGATCCCGGGCCCACGCGTCAGCGACGACGGTCGTCCTTTTTTTAAGCCGACCGTGTGGCGGGGTCGTCCTCATCCAGTTCCCGTCCCCATCTAGGCCACACTCGCTCCCCCGTCGCCGGCAAGCAAACCCTAGCCACCCCAGCCACCCCACCCGCCCAAATGGGGCTCTTCTCTGGCAGCAGCAGCAAGTCGAAGGGCAAGGCCCCCGTCGTCCCCTTCCCCACGGAGTTCACCCCGCCTCCGCCGAGGCATCGGGTGCACGTGCCTGTGCACCAGGCGGAGTGGCACTGGCGCCACCGCGTGCCGCTGCCGTACCCCGACATGACGCTGCCGCACGACTGGCATCTAGATCCGGAAAGGATCCCAGTGCCAGCGGCGCCGCGGTCGGCTAGGGCGCACGCAGAGGAGGTGCGTCGCCGGCGGGCGCTCCTGACGCCGGAGCGGCGCCGCGACGAGGCCTACGCCTACGACTCGCCCAACTGGGCGCGCTGGTTCGTCTTCAAGCACGTGGAGGCTAGGCGGCGCGGCGTGCGCGAGGTCGACCACAGTTTGTCGTCGCCGCCGCTCATCATCAAGGAGGAAGACCAGGCGGCAGAGGACGCCTACCAGGCGGCCCTTGCGGCCGTCTACCGGGAGAGCAAGGAGGACGAGCGGCGCAGGGCGGAGGCGACAGAAGAAGAAGAAGCTCGGTACGAGGCGGCCATGGCCCTCCCCGCGGCTGACGACTGCGTGGTGCCGCCGGTGGCCCCGCCGTCCCCTCCCCGCTGCCTCGCCAAAGCCAAACCGCAGCCGGAGCCCATCGAGCACTACTCCTGGACGGGAGTAGTGCGCGAGTGGGTGAGGGCGCCGCCGGTCTGGATGCAGGCCATGCCGGAGCAAGAGGCAGCGTACCTCGAGCACTGGCGGCAGATCCGGGTGGCCGAGGAGCACCGCGAAGGCGAGTACCTCGAGATGCTCGAGCGCGACGCCGAGGCCGAGCGGCTCGAGGCCGAGGAGGAGGCGCGGCGGGCCGCGGCACTGCCAGCGCTGGCACAGCTCGCGCCCGACATGGCCGCGCTCTGGAACACGGCATTCGGCTGGGCCGGTCCGGCGCCGACGCTCATCGACCTCACAGACCCTGAGGACGACGGCGACGCCTAGGGCAGCGCATCGGCGCCTAGTTTTTAGTTTGTTTTTATTTTTTTAAATGCTAATGTGGACGCGTGGACTCCTGCCGGACTTCGTGGCCGGCTTTAATGTTTAATTAATTTAGTTTTTATGTTAAATATGCATGCATTCTGAGTTTTTTTACGCCGTCAAAATGGATCGCGCCAGCGTTGTGCACACGCACCGACCCAAGCGCGGGAGCGGACGCTCGTGTCCGCCTGGCCGATCCAAACGGACAAAAACCGGACGAAATCACCGTTCGTTTGGGTCGGCCGTCCGTTTGGGTCGGCCCGTTGGAGCAGGGTGAAAGAGAGAAGGCATATGTCCTTCCCCCTCAAGCCATGGACAGACATGCCCTGCGTTTGCATGCCCTGCTGTGCATGTGCCTACGGCTGCCTCCACAAGAGCGAGCAGATGGGCAACCAGCCAGGCCCCCCACCATGAGCCGAGGCCACATGGGCAACGACAGATGAAAACCCTGTGACAATGCTATTGCTACGTACGCACTGCACAGGAGGAAACAGGCCTCTCCCCTCCTCTCGGCTTGGTGACAAGACAGAGAACAAAATGGTTGGGAAAGTTATGAGACACAGTTGGAAGGATAAGCTGTCTTTCCCATTTAAGGACACTGCCACCCTCTTGCAGCCGCTCTCCTCTCCCCACAAACACAAGAGCAGAGCCCTCTCCTATGAAGAGAGGAGGGGATGGCTGGGTGTCAGAGACTTCTTCAATGTTCTCCTCTTCCTCCTCATGTAGGTAGGTATTCAAAGAGCTAGCACAAAGAAGATAGCCAACAATGGCTTCCTCAGTGTTGCATTGATGAGTGCCCCGGAGAAAGCATAAATAGAGAGCTAGCTATCCGGTGTTCTTCTCCAAGTAGTTACTCATTCCTTCTCTGCTCTACTTCTACTTCTGCTGCGTCTGTTCCCTTGGTCTCCGGTTTTTCCTTCTTGTTTCTGCATTCCATTTCATTCTCATTCACTAGATCTTCCCATTGCCCGCCCGCCCGCCTGCCTGCCATGGAATCCTCCCATATCACCGGGGATGATGGCGAGGGCTGCAACAGCAGTGAGTCTGGGTGGACAATGTACCTGGTCTCCCCCATGCAAAGCGGCGACGACGACGATGGTGGTAGCCGCAAGGGAAGCGGCAGCGATGGAAGCAATGTCGATGATGGCTATGGCTACACTTACCTCGTCCGTGGCAGGAAAGGAGGCAAGGAATACTACCAGCAGGATGATGGCGATGACAACGACTCCCTTGCCTCTGATGCTTCGACTGGACCAGCCAAGGTCAAGGTGCAGCCCTCGTCGCCTGACGGCAAAGAGAGGCAAGGCCATCGAAAGGACGGTGACAACCACGGCGAGAAGCGGGAGGAGGACGAGGAAGAAGAAGACAGGCACACCAGGTTCTCAACGAGCTCCCGCAAGAAAGCCGGCAACAAGGCAGAGAAAGGGGGCGAGGGGAAGTCATCCAAGAAGAAGGGAAGCTCCTCAAGGACAAGCTTCTTTTGGTAAACCAAATGCTTCAGAATCATTGTTCTGTACTACTAGTAGCAAATAGCAATATGTATGTGCCTTATGCATCATCGGTCGATCTTTTCCATTTGTTGTTGAAGATGGGAATGTATCCCTCATTGTTAGGAGTATTGGAGAAGAGGGAGGAAGGCTTTTTTGGGGTCCTCAGTTTTGCCTTCCATAGTGTTCTCCCATGGTTGAGGTTGACCACCACCCCCCCAATTACTAGTAGGGTTAACTGTTGCTGCAATGTAAATCTACTGCAACCTTCGGTTATTATTATTACTATTCAATGCCTTCCTGCTTTTACTGTTGCTTGCATGCAGACCTTGCAATCTTCTGCTACATGTTCCTAGCTATTAATGGAGCACTGCTCTAACTCACAAGCTACACTCTAGCCAGCCAGATAGATTTGCGAGCAAAACATGCATTGAAGCATGGAAATAATTTAACAGTAAAGAGAAGAAAAGCCAAGTCAAATTAATTGCCTTCTGCTTCTTTCCATTGCCCAGACTCTAGAATGTCAGCAGTGTGCAAGTGTAATGCATATGTTTTTTTAACATAAAATTTATTATTACTAAAAGAGGGTAACATGAGGCCCACATGCAATCTTTATGCCAAAATCATTTGCACGGCATTTCAGCAAACCAAATCACTTGTTTGCCTTTGTCTCCAACGGCTCATCACCTAAACACAGCCCAATCATAGACAAACAGGAACATGCATGCATGTATCACAACACAGGCAAACAATGGGAAATAAATACCAATAGCTTTATGGAGGAAAAAATCCTTGCCAACTCACGCTCTTCAGCAGTGCGCTAAGCAGATTCTGAGAGCAGGTGACCTTGGCTTGAAGTAATTTTGCTGGGTGCCCATCATGTGGCAAGTATATAACAATCACACCAGAAGAATTATGTGGCCTAACCAAACTCCAGAGGGGAATATTTGTCTAACCAGACCACTCATGCAGCATTAAGGCGGCAATTGCTGCACATGCTCTAGACAGGGTGGAAACAATGATTTGTCCATCAGACAGACAGGGATAATCAATAGCCATAAACTAACCAACAACCATGTAAGCTGGTTCACGTACTACAACAACTACTAGTATCTCTCTTATTTTTCTCTATCCACACCAAACAGTTTCTTAAAAATAATTTGCTTTTATGTGTTTAGAAGGATATATGGGAAGGGCAACATGATTACAGCTAACACGTCGCTTTTTCAACAAACCTAATGTGGTGTTACCATGAGCTGCTATACTTTATACGATAATTAAACAATGTACGTTGCATCTTCTAGGATATGGCGGGCAACTACATGCTGCAATTAAGCCTCACCACCCCCAATGATTTGGCATTAGATATCTTCACCTTCATAATAGAAACATATGATTGGTACTGTAGGTATGCACCGCACATTAAACCAAAGTATATCACCTGCTGCTATGGATTTATGGTTCCTCCGGTTACACAGCAACAGCTTCCTAAAAGCAGCTTTGGCGTCGGTCTCGGATCATCCTTTGCTTCAAAATAATGCAGGGAAAGATATGTATGTCTCTGAACAGCAGTCCCTCTTTCCTGGAAGAGAAGAAATCTATCAAAAGGAGCCTGTAACTGGTGCTTGGGATGTATAATTAAGTAATTAAGTCTGGGAAATATGCAGTTTAACTGAAACAGCCCAAACAAGGTAAAACAAAAGTAGAATTGCTCACACTTCAGATAAAAAAAACATTGAGATGGCTCTAGTGTTGTGGTCCTTGCATGTTACTGCTGAAGATTTTGCAAGAGAGCAAACGACCTGAATCAAATATGTACATCATTTTTCTTCTTCAAAGCATCCTTACTTACTCAATGATTCGAGAATACATGCTGAAAAAATCAAACCGGGCCAGTCGAAGTTCACAGGTAATTTCAGTCTGAGATTTTACAAGTTCGAGACGTTTCCTTGTATTCAAGGAACACCGACGAGTTCTGGTCCATTTTACCACTTGGATGAGAAGTTTTTAAGGGGGACACAGCGAAAACCTTTTGGGTTGGAAGGTTGAAGGACGACTGCCGCGTAGTTCTCCCCCATTCTGCTGTTCTCAGGTGTAGCTGGATAACCGTGAACATGGAAGTTTCAATCTTGCCGTGTACGGTGAGGCAGCGCATGACTGTGCTAATCGAAACTGTACGCACAAGGTGACTGGATCATCTTGCCGGGTAGAATAACAGCTGCCACCCCTGTTCTCATCAATACTGTGGTTGGAGATGAGCCACTCTTGGAGAATTAGGAACTATCTTTAGCTTGTCGGCCTCGAACACCTTGTCCAACTAAAAGTAGCACATAATTTTCATTACATAAGTAAAATAATCCTGAAGACTTGAATAGCCAGTATGCTTGTTGACGCAAGTTCGAAGAAGAATTGCAGTTGATTGTCCACCGGGCAAAGCGAAAGAAGTATTCAGAGCAGCACACAGGATGCAGAGCTTCAGATAATGCAGCACTTTGGAGCACTCTTTGTGCTCTTTGCTGTAACTTCAACTTAAGGTTTTTTCTCCCTTTGGCACATCACAGTATATGAAAAAAAACTGCGGGAAGAAACTCCTACAGGTTCGTCTAAAAAAATTATACGGCGTAAGTACGAATTCCCAGATATAACACATAAATACCATAACAACACATAGTTCATATCTGCTGCCACCGTTACCTACAGTAACCGAACCTGCATGTTCATATTTCCTCAACTTCTCTAAAAGCCAAGTTGGATGCATATAAAATTCAAATGAAAACAATATAGCTGCTTCCACATGACTGTCAAAATTTTATAATCAAGAAACCTAAGATGGTATATTATAACCATGATGGGGCAACACGGTGAAGATTCTTTCAGTCAATGTCAACTTCAACTTGCATGAACCATCAAATATACCTCATCGAAGCACTTCTTGTAAACAGAATGGTTGTGTTGCCAAGCTCTTACTGTGCCCTCGAATTACCAAAGGCACTAGTAAGAAAATGCTTGGTAATATTACCATAGCCAGGTATTCTGATTCTAGGTATGTAGATTCCTTACATCATACACATATGGACCTCGGAGGTTGACCTCTTTTCTTTTAAACAAAGGTTGACCTCTTTGGGGATGGCATAATTAAAAATTTGGGAGCTGCTCATAAGGTTTTATAATTCACAACCATGCATCACAATTCGCAAGTAGATTAAGAGGTGAACATATTTTGTTCAGGCTCTGTATTCTATGGCATATAATATGAATAAATAATGTGATACTGGATGTAATGCGGTTTTGTATAAAATCATGGGATATGGAGCACAAAATTCATATATATACAAGCTGCAAGGCCTTTGTTATGCTCTGTATTCATTTGGACAAAACCAATGAATGCCTTTTAACCAAGTATGTGCTTCCAGTCGGGTAGCCAATGTTATGGTCTGTAGGAAACATAAAGAGAAAAGACATTTATTTCCATGTGTTCTTGCTTCTTAAACAGTCAACACTCCACAAGATGACAACTAGAAACTGAACACAAAAAGAAGAACAAGAAACTCCTCCAGATTAAGCCACAAAACGGCAATTAGAAAATATGGCACCAAGAAAAGGGATTTGACACATAATAGTAGAATCTGAACTGGCACATACGTCCGAAACTCCCACTCACAGTGCAAAACACACCAAATCAGTAGTTTTCACTACCCGCAAGGGCCAAACCGAACCAAACCAACTAGCCCATTATGCAGTATTCAATAAGCACATCCAGAATATTTAAGGAAATCAACTATTAGCATGACGATGCAAAATATGGAAAGCACGTCTCAGAAATACTTTTGCCTTCTTATTTCCCAGTTCCCATGATGATACATCTCTTCTTACATAGGAAAAGGGAAGAAACTAATAACATTCTATACATATAGAAATGATATTTCTTTTGATGAACTTACTAGTAAGCCTAGTAATAACTAGTACCTCATTGAGTACCAGGAAATTAAGTCTGGAAAACAATGCACCAAAGCAATTAGGAATTCTCCTCCACACTGGACGAAGTCTTCCTAGACTTCTTGTCATCAACATACAACTGGTAGCCGTATGAAATAAAACCCCAGATGGCTATCAGCATAGCTATAATCTTTATTCCATCCATTTTGTCGTGAAAGAAAATCACTGCGAAAACAGGAATGATGGGCAGAGCTAGGGTGCTTATCACATTTGAAAAGAGTGATGAAACCACAAAGATCAACCCCACAACTCCAACAGAAGCTATCTGCCATGATATAGCTGTCCATAGCACTGTCATTACATAGGACACCTTCCCTGGGCTGAACATGTGCATCTCTCCCTCCAAAGTCTTCCATTCACCACTTGCAAACAACCCAACAAGAGAAGCCAATGTAGCCACAAATGCCGTATAAATCTGCATGTTCAGCACGACTGAGAAGGTCTCCCTCTTAATAACCTTTTCAAACGTAACTTGCATGAGAGACAGAATAAGTGAGTATGTGGCCGATGCTCCCAGTGTCAACACAAAACCCAATACATGATTCCCTTGTGAGATATCACTACTGCTCGGAGAATCCTCATCAACTCCAAGGAGCGAAGCGGAAAATGTAAGGAGTAGTACCGAGTTGAATATCAAAGGGGTGAACTTTTGGGCATTGAGAAAATATGAGAAGACGGCGTTGAAGGCCAGCTGGCTAGCACAAATGAGGGAGTAAGTTGAGACAGGAAGATACAATAGACCGTAGGAATACATCAAGTCGTCTGCAGCAATGATGAGTCCCAAGGCAATGTATATCAGGGTGATTTTGGTGATAGAAGCTTCAGGGCCACTGGTAGTTGCTTGTGTGGAAGGTGACTTTGCATGGAAAAGAAATTGGGCAATAAACAACACCGGAAAACCAGCAGTCTGGACAAAAGTGGACAACCATTTGCTATTGCCACCTTCATTGTAGTAGAATCTCCCTAAGAGTGTTGCCGACGTCTGACCAGCCACAAGGAAGAAC